GAATATATTCTTAAAATAATAATGAATTGATTTGTGAATTGAAAGTATTATTTATTTAATAACAAGTAATTAATTAAGTACTAATAGAATTACTTTCGGTTTCTTCTTTATTCATTTGGGACTAATACCGTCACCAATTCTTCTTGTAGCTCTACTGAGTATATTTTGTTATGATCTCCACTTCAAGCAGCTCTACTGAGTATGTTTGATCGTGATTGAAGAATGACATCCATCATGTTTTTTATTACAAGGGTTTTCACTTCTTTTTCGATGTCAATCTCAGTTTTTAATTCTTTAATTAAGCTAATACTTTATTTATTTATTATTCCATGAATTGAGATTACTACTGGAATTATTTTGACATCTTTTAATTTCTCTAATAATAAAATAAAAAGAACAAATACAAAAATAATTATTTAATTGAAAGAAGATAAAAAAATACCTTTTGTATTATTCTGAGACATAACAACTATACCAACTATTGTATATGTTTGATTCAGTTTATTGTTTAATGTTTGTAATAAATTTCTAGTTGTTTGCTGGTTGTGAAGAGGGTGATAGTTTGAATAAGTTTTTATTATAAATTCCATTTTTATAATATTTCTTTTATCACCTGTTTTGAAGAAATAATATAACTCCCTAGTCATATCTGTAAAAAACATTCAATATTTATCAAATGAAATTGTAACATTTTCTTTTTTCAGCTTTTTTTTCTGAAACTTCAAATAATATGTCTTGTTTGGTTTGTTCTTGGCATCATTGTTTTATTATATTGTTAAAAATAGTTCTTATTTATTCCATATTATCTCAAACTAACTTTATTCATAAACATAAACTTTCTGTGGTGATATTCTTAGAAGTTATATTAAAATACTGAAGTAAGAATGAAAATAATATTTCTTGATATATTTCTAAATTACTAACTCCAATGAATTGAACATTTCTTCAATACCCAAAGTTACAAGTTATTTATTTAAATTAGAAAGACTAAGTGATGTAACTAATCTCCTTTGAACAAAGAACAATAAAAACCAATTCTATTAACACTCAATTAATTACTTAGTATTAAATGACAAAAAAAAGATTATTTTATTTCTTATCAAAACATTTCCTTCTTATCTTTTTGAATATTTTTTTCATACTTCTTTCATTAAACCAGTTCTGCTGGCAATGACTTATTTTATGGTATGACTATTTTATCAAGTATTAGTACAAAATAAAATAAAACCATTCATTCTTATATATCTGTTAATCGTTTATTAAAATCTTTAAAATGAAGTTAGAAAAATGAGACATATTTATATAAAAAATGTATTAATTAAAACATTTCATTATGAAATGTAATTGTTATTTACAATGGTGTTATACGTTTTTTTTTCAACAAATTTATAAGTAGGAAAATTTCTAATAAAGAAAAAAAATAACTTAAAATAATATTTTTGATAAAAAAGGCACATTGTAAATTGATGAAGAAAAATTAAGAAATAAATGGTATTTTAGAACTGATACTTTCCCACAAAAGAACTTGATACAGGTAATTCATCTGTATTAGTCATTGAATTTATTGTCTATAACATATTAGTACAATAAAAAAAATATAAAAGAAAAAGAAAAAACAAACATATTCTTTGAAAGTAGAAGGAAAATCATCTTTGAGTTTCATTGGTTTACTTCTTTTAATGTGTTGGACATTAGAAGTAAAAATATCCGAAGATGATTGATCACCGTCATCAGAGTCAGTTGGAGATGAAATGGTATTAAAACCTTGATGAGTCTGTTTTTGGTCTATATGGTTTTGTGTTGTAGAATCAGTTATTTGGGTAGAATTATCAAAGTCTTCATCCACTGAAATTTAATATTCATATAAATACATAAAAGATGAAAATAAAAGAGAAACAAACCATCAAAGTCTTCATCCATATCAAAGATTCCACTGCTTGATTTCGTTTTTGTAACTTTAACTGGGGTGATTGTGATTTTTGGTATTTCATCTTGAACATTTTCTAATTTAGTTTTAATAGCATCAAGTTCATTAGAAATTAACCGCCGTTCAGCTTCATATGCTTCTTCTTGTTCCATTACAAATTCTCTTATTTTTCTTTCTTTTTCTTGAAATAGTTGTTCAACTCGTTTTTGTTTTATAGTAATAAGTTCTTTTTCAATTGGATCTCTAACTGATCCAATGCTTAATGAACCAACATATGAATTTTGACCTGTTGTTGGTCTGCTTTTAATTAGTTGAAGATCAACGTAAATACCAAAGGTATGAGAATACGTTAATTTTTCTCTTAATCTAATAACATCTCTAAGTATTGGGTTTATAATAATTTCTCCATCACACAATAAACAACAATCAGTACCACAAGAATTACATCTAACACATGACCATTTACCAATTTGAGTAGTATGAGTAAACGATGTATATTTGATAGTTATTTTACCTGTCCCTGTTATTGGATTAATCCATTTTAATGGAGGTATTTGTATTTGTTTTAGTGTTAATTGAATTGATACATTAGAACATACACAACTAAATGGAAGCATAAAGGGTTAATGTGCTTTTTCTAAATAAAAGTTCTTTTTTTTTTTCTTTAGTTTTTTTTTATTATAAAAGGTAGTTCTATTTTAATATTTTTTGATGGAATGTGTAAATCTTAAATGAAACGATGGAAATTCATTGCCTTTTTTCTCTTAAATATTTCTTGTTAATTATAACAATAAATAATTTAAAAGAGAAAAAATGAAATTAAATTTTACAAATCATTTTAATATTACTATGACAACACAACATTCTCATAGTCAATTTACTCAAAATCACGAAATGTCACAAGAGTCAAATGAATTTAATAAGTTATTGAGAACTATTCAAAATGAGATTCAATCTCCTGTGCTTGAGATTTTTGATAATGTCCGAGTATCACAATTTAAACAAATGATTTTTAATCAACAACAAATTATTGCAAATTTAAAAAACCAAACTGATGTTAGTAGTATTACTTTAATGCAATGTCAAACATTTCAAATTGAAATTAGTAGAATTCAATATTATTTAACGTTATATTCTAAAACTCGATTAAGAAAAATTCATCAAATGGCACGATGTAATTCAAATGATACATCTAAAATGACTTCTGACGAAAATATATTATTTGAAAAATATAAATTATTAAGAAATGAATTCCTTCAAAAATCCCAAATATTTGAACCTAAAGCAGAAGCAAAACCAGATATGTCTACATTTGTATTTGTACGAATATTAACTAATGTAGATAATTTCAAAATTCATCCAGAGTTTGTTTTTTTTTCTTCTTCTTTCTTTTTCTTCTTTCTTCTTCTTTATTATAATAAAATATATAAAATTGAATAAAATACAATGTTTATTATATAATTCATTGATTAGTGATGAATATGGATTTGAAATGCAAAAAGGAGAAGTTTATTTATTTCCATATTATTCTGTTCATGACTTTATTAATACAAATACTTTTGAATTAATATGAAAAATTAAAGAAATTAAAAAAAAAATTGATTTATTCATTTATTTAACTTGTTGGTTATTTTCTTTGTTCATAAAGGTTAAGAAATCAGAATATAATGTTGGAAGTGAGCATAAATTATCAATTTCATTTTGACTCATTTTTAATGAGTTAATATCTTTAAATGATGTTAAGAAGAATGGTAAATAAGCAAAAGTATCCATTGGAATTTGTTTTTTTTTACGAGTTTCTGGGTCAACATTAATGATATAATTAATTAATTGTTCAAAAACATCTCCTTGAAGTTTTGGTTGTATAACATCACGTAAAACATCAGCTAAAAAGTCAAGCATTGAATTTGTTTCCATACCTTTTTTAACTCCTTTATTTGCTTCATTTATAAGAATTACCAACCATCGATAAACAACCTTAAGAAATTGATAATATTTATCACCTTTTAATGACTCAAATTCTTGTCTTAAAAATTCTTTTACATCAGTTTTTCCTTTTAAAGCTTTCTCAATAAGTTTGATATGTTTGTTCTCAAAATGTTGATATAATTCACATCCTCCAATAAAGCCAAGTAAATATAATTCATACCCACTCTCCCCATTAATACCTAATTTGTTACAAAATACTTCTATATTTTCTGAATTAACTAATCCTTCAATAGCAACTTCTTCAAAAGCTTTTCTAATAATGTTTTCATTTCCGTTATTACTTGTAACTTCTTCTGTTGATATTTCTTCATTTGGATGAGATACCTTAGAATCATCAAATATTGAAGTATATCCAAAAGGTTCTTCTATTTCAGGACATCCTTGGTCGTAATAACTTGAAACTGCATCATCAAGACTTCTAAATTTTTTTAGGAAATGGACAGCTGTATATTCATTATTACATCCAGAAAATTCCATGAACCTGAGAACAGTATTAGCGTCTATTTTCATTTGTATAATTATTAGTTCATTTTCCTATCATTTTTTCTTCTCTTTCAATCCTTTATTTAATTAAATGACGTTTCTTTTTTTTTTCTTTTTCTTTTTATTCAAATTAATTTATTTATGAAAGACAAATTTCCCCCCTCTTCTTCTTTTGCAATTACAACTTATTTCATAATCTAAATGTTTTTATTATTACTTTTTTAAAATTGTTATTTAAGAAATGAATTAATAAAATAAATTTAATAAAATACGTAAATACAAATGAATTAATAATAACCATATATAAAAGGATGTGGGTAATATACATCTTTTGTTTCATTATTTTGTTTCCATTGATTAATTCTTTGTTTCTTATCCATTCTTGTTATATGGTTAATTATTGAAAGATTTTCTTCAGTCAATGTTAAATTTGATTGAGTAACAACATTTGATTTCTTTATATTCTTTTGTTTATTATGTCCTTCCTTAAAATATGGGTATTGAATAAATGTAGCACATGAATCTGGTGTAATAATATATCCATATGAGTAACCACACTTTACTTCGCACATTGAATTTTGTAGATAACCTTTTATTCTTAAAAATGGGTTTCTTTTCGAACTTTATTGATTTTCTCTTGACCTTTAATCTTTCTTTTCCGTGCTTCTTTTCTTTCCAAATAGAAATAGTTTCCTTTGATTTTTAATCTTAAAAAAAAAAAGAATACTTCTAAACAGTTTTTTCTTCTTTCAAAAGTATAAAATAATTTTTTTGAGATATAAATTTAATATAAATATTATTTAGTTGACGTTACGTTGAAGTAGTGATAAGAAGATTTATAAAAAGGGTTTCTTAAAAATTTAAACATGAGAAAATATATGAAACAGCTTAGTATCTATTTTAAAAATAGAGCATCTGAGATAGAAACAAATACACTGGAAATAATTAATCTAAGTAATTGAAATAGAGGAAAAGATTAATGATGTCGCAACCACGTTCTCAGACATATAAAATTTATAAAAAATTAGGACAAGGAGGTTATGGACAAGTCTATCTTGGAAAAGATAGTTCAGGAAGACAAGTAGTTGTAAAAAAGATTGCTATTGATACAGACAATAGAGAAAAGGCAATGAATGAAGTTAAAATAATGAAGAAAGTCAACCATAATAATGTTATTCATTTTATTGATAGTTTTGTTAATAAAAAGAATTTAATAATTGTAATGGAATATGCTCGTGGTGGAGATTTATCTCGTTTTATTAAAAAAAGAATGGGAGATTTAATTTCTGAAGATTTGGTTTGGAATATCTTTCTTCAAATTACGTTTGGTCTTCGTTATCTTCATTCAATTCGTATTCTTCATAGAGATATGAAAACTCAAAACGTATTCTTAATGGCAGATGGTACTGTAAAAATTGGTGATTTTGGAATTGGAAGAATGCTTTCTGAAAAGGAACAAATTGCAAATACTGTTATTGGCACTCCTTATTATCTTTCTCCTGAAATTTGTGAAGGGATTCCTTATGATTATAAGAGTGATATGTGGTCATTAGGTTGTATTCTTTATGAATTATGTACTTTAACTCGTGCTTTCTGTGGAAGTAATGTTGCTGACGTTATAAGAAAAATTTTAAAAGTTAATCCCCCTAAAATCCCTGAAATATATTCAAGTACTATTCAAATGATTGTTGATAATCTTCTCTCAAAAACTGCTTCATCAAGGATGTCGGCTGATGACATTTGTAATCTACCAACAGTAAAGATTATTATTAATGATATGTTTGATGTTAAGGGTATGACAACAATCATTTTTGATGAAATGAACCAAAAACAAGAAATGAGTCATGAAGAACCAACAGGAAATACAGACAAGGGTCTTCAAAAAAGTATCAATTCATCAACCCCATCTCCAAAAGAAGACCATTCTGAACTAACAAGAGAAATTTTGAAAGAAGTACCTGATTTTGAATCAAAAAAAGATATTATTGAAGCCTTTGATAGGTTAGGATTTGAAATAAAAAACTATGACTGTACTGGAGATATGAGTATTTTAAATGCAGAAAAAGAAGAAATTATTGCAAAAATACAAAAAGAAAGAGGAGAAGAGTTTTGGGTTATATTTGGTCAATTACTTAATTACAGTGATACTCTCCCAAAATTCTTTAAAGAAAATAAAATTGATACAAACTGTCTTGATTTGATTGTTGATTTGCTACGAATAGAAATGAAAAAAAATAGAATAGAAGCTAAAATTTCAGAAGAAAAATTTAAGAAACAAAAAGAACAAGAAGAAGAATTTGAGAGAATCAAACGTGAGGTTGAAGATGCAGAAAGAAGAGAATTTGAAAGAAGTCAACAAACCCCTCAAAGAGAGTTCAACGAAAATCCTAGATTTACTGATGGATATAGTGAAGAAATAAATCGAAGACTTTAAGCTTCCTCTATTTTTGAATTAATGAATTAAATCTTTTTTTTAAATTACAACAGTTTTAATTCATTTGATTAATCACCTAATTTCCCCCTTTTTGAATTCTTTTATTTATTCATCTTTTTGGTTTTATTCTCAAATATATAATTTGAAGTATTGACTAATTATTAGTTGCTTTTATGAATTTAATCAATTTAAAGAAATAATTCCATCAAGTTAAAAAGCTATCAAAATTTATGAATGTTAATAGTTCTTAAAAATGGCTACTTATTTATTTTATTTTTTAATTAGTAATGCTATGTAAAATATTAATTCTTTCATGTTTTTGATGGCAACGAAAAAAGCAAATAATTGAGAAATGAAGAGAATGAATGATATAAAAGAATAAAAAGAAAGTAAAAAGTAGGATATGATGAAAAAAGAAATAAAATAAAGTAGAAAGTAG